TGTCAAGTGTAATCAATTAACACAACTTAAAATCAACTTTTTCAACCTACAAAAGTGCTTTTTCATCAATTATAATCAGTTACACTCCATATTAACCGGTTACAACACTTGAATAATTGATTTTCACTCAACATTAACTATGTTAAGGTACACACTTCGATTTTTATAACTTTGTATCTCACTATTGGATATTTCTTTTTTTTTTAGATATAAACATCTTTGATGGATATTTATAATATATTTCGATAGTACAGTTTAGACTCAAACCATTTAAAAAATTATTAAAACAAAAATAAAAATTTGTATGGAATAAAAATTAAAATTAACTAATAATTAAAAAAATACATTAATATTATTATGTATGAATTTAATCTGTAAAAAATATCTAATTGTAAATAAAAATTTCATCTTTGCCTAATAGAAAAACTATTTTAAATTTCACTTAAATATGAATATAGCCGAGTCGGCTCTATTTATATATGTCAAACTTTTTAAAGTTAATTTCAAACATTTATGCAATTAAGAAATTAAGTTTAAACTTATTTGTATAGCCTTATAAATACAGTTTAAGTGGATAGTTGCAATAATTTTAATATACAGGATTTAAATTCAAACTCATAACTCATTACTTTACCACTTTTAAATTATGTCATTGTGATAAACATGTTTCATATGTGTGTATATGATAAACATGCTTAATCAAATACTATTATTTTGATATATCTTGATTTAACATAAATAAAGGAACTAATAATAATTTGTCTTGTCATTGCAAAGAATAATAGGAATCAATCACCATGATTCCAAAATGTAACAGTAGCTAGTATATTAAGAGGTTAAATTAATATCTATAATAATCTAATATCCAAACAATGGTTGCCCCCAACCCAAGTCACACTTTTCAAATAAAACTGGAAACTTTGGTTACCAACTTTGAATATAGAAGCAATAGCTTCAAGTTTTGGAGTAACTTCCATGGACGCTTCAGGAATAGCTTCGAGTCCGCAAAAATAATAACGCAACACAAGTGGAACAGATGCGATTTCATTATGAATCTGAATCTGACTTTTTGGTTAATGCGGCTACCTCTCTCTCCTGCTGTTTCTTCAGATGCGTCTGCGCGGTTGAATTCACTATCTTGATGAAGAAGTTCATGAGCATGAGCCATACCACAGTATTCCAGATTGAAGTAAAAGAAAAATCCCACTTTTTCCCCTGAAGGTAACACAATATTTGATATATATAAAAAAATCAACAAGACTTTGAGGCTTATATTCAACATTTAACAGATTACGTTGCATTTAATTGGTACCTGTGTATTTGGGGAAACTGGTTGAGGTGCTTTCAGATACTTAGCTTTCATTGCATGGAGATTAGCAACCAGTTTAGGCAAAACAGATGCAAAAACAGGTACATGGCTGAGAACCCGGATAACTTCAGTCTCTATCCAGTCGAGAAGTTGATTATTGCAAACGGAGATGATGAATACCGTCTGCAAAAAAAGAATATTACATACACGGCCAATCAAAACCAACACTCCTTCGGTTAAACTTTTGACACAAACAGAATTCTACTGAACCTGTTTCACGAGGCAAAAGCAAATGAAAGCGCATAAAAAAGGATAAAATAGGAGGTAAAAATGACCAAAAACTCCAAACTTATACATACTTGTATGTGAGTTTTAATAATTGCCTTTCCAATCAAGGTTGCGAGGAAAAAACTCCAAAATGGAACACCGAATTGTCCACACATGATGCCAGCAAGGTCAAATAGAGGATTTGGCACCTGAAATATATATTGAGTAATGCGAAAATTGGACAAGCACTGTGATGCATGATAATTGGGATACTTTTTTAGTTGTATGGAGCATGAAGATGCAAACGTGAACAGCAGCAGAATGAAGAAAGGAGAAAAGGGTATACTGGAATGAAGAATGAAGTGGATACTAACCGAAGCAAGCACTAGAATGGTAAAGAAGTTTAAATGCTGTGTGTGAGAAAAAAACCAGCACTTGATTTGATTCAAGACTCCTTTCTCGTCACTATCTAACTCTTCCATGCCATCCACTTTGCTCCCAGACAAGCGTGCTACATGAATGATTTGATTAGAATTAGAATCATGTACAAACCAAATCCTAAATAAACTAATAAGGACAAAAAATTGGGGGAGATGAACTAAGCGTGAAATCGTTAGAAAAAGAAGGCTGTTTTCAGTTTTGAAAATCTCAGGAAACATTCACACTACTCTCTTGCTCCAACAGCAGACGTGGCCAAATTCTGTTTTTTTTTTGTTTTGTGCAATAGTTATTCACACATTCACATTACCTAATTTACTCCAAAACTGTCTAATGGACCTAAACTTTCTAACAATAATGTTATTTTCATAACCAAACCTCAAGACTAACTTTTTCTATCCTTTTAAAGTATGCTATACAACATGGTGCTTTATTTCAAGACCACATGAAAAATGTAAGATCCCATGAGATTCAAAACAACAAGATGATTCTTGGAGTTGGCCACGATCATTTATGTGCATCGCACTGTCGATGGCGGTCCATGGCAGAGAGCCCAAAATCCCGCCATACTGACCGCTTTTACGGCGCCGTTATAGCGGAATAACCCACAATATCGGCCAATATTTACCATTGCGGCGAGCCCAAAAAAACGCTATGTATATCCACCATAGCGCTGTCATACAACAGTGGTGTAGATAACCTGAGGACAAAAGCTTCCAAAGCCGGTAGTGACTGTTGTGTTGAAAATACATAATCAACAGTAAATGAGTCATACTTTTTTTTTGTTTAATAAAAATGAAGATTATTCAATAAGCTATAACAAAGAGAAAATTAAGCTCTTACTCATAACCCATTCTTGGGAATTCATCGAAATAAAGCAGAAAGTGAAAACAACACATGTCATAAGCTATTCTTATAAGTGTATCCAAACACTAATTTAAGTATTTATGTTGTGAGATAAGATCAAATAAGCTATTCCATACACCCCTTTTATAAATAACAGAAATGGGTTTCAGAACATTGCACCATCATAGTATAGAAGCAAGTAAAAAATACAAGACAAGTGAAATAAAATATATAAAGGCGAGCATTTTTTTCTGAATAATTATGAACTACCAAAATCAAACTATCATGACAACTTAATAACGCCTTTGTTATGTATGATCGATAAAATAGTATGTGATAAACTAGTGACGATATACCTGCCCTGGAGATAAAGTAAGGAGGAAGCTCCCCTATAGCCGTTCCCAAACCCCATAGAACAGCCTCCATCTGAACTTGAGGCAAAATGCTGCTAAGTGGAACCCGAGAACCATACTCTGACTGAATAATGGCGGCCCAAACTGAGAACAATCTTTATCAAGCCATGAAGGACCTCTTTTTAACTGTATTGTATCATACGGAGCACTTTTCAAATCAACTCGGCCACATTGCATTGCTTTTATTGTAAATAGTGCTATGTGGGGACCCAAATATAGGACAAATGTGTGCAAACCAGATCCTGAAACAAATAAACCGGTAAGAGAATAATTTACCTACATACACACATAAATAAAAGAGGGAAAACGCAAACTTAAAGACAACGACTACAAAGCATGTGATGAAGATGGTGGAAAAACGATTAGAATGTCCATAAAATTTCTAGTATAAAACATTCATGTTTTAAAAATAACTCCTTTACTTTTAGGCCAATCACACAAGAGTCCCTACCGCAACATTGAAAAGCATAAGTTATTTTGGTGCACACCTATTGTACTTACCAAGACCAATTGACGATGCAACCCCAAGGGCCACCCACCATAGTCCAAAGCGGAAATATTCAAGAAACTCCTCAAGATGCTGCAAAAAGAACAAGCATTTATAGACTCCAAGTGAGTATCTAAACAAAAGAAATTTCATCCTCATAAGCTTAATCTTCCCACAATAATATCAAATACCAATATGAACACTTAGGCTGGTTACAAATTTTCTACTATTACTGCATTTTGCACATCTAAGAGGGCTTGAATTTCTAGATTAGATTACCAAGGTAGTATTGCATATTATACCCTAAACTAGTAAACAACAACAATAGAAATAACTTGTTTCCAATGGAACGCGTTTTGGAATAGATCAAGTTTCCTTAAGTTACCGACTGAAGGCATAAAATTACCTTCTCATGCAGGCAACCCTGGGTCATCAGCACTACGCCGAGAGTCCCTACCAAAACACTGAAAAGAAGAAGCCATCCCCCTTTTGCCAATAAGTACAACATTGTTTTCTTAATGTATTGAATAACCGCCAATGTGGAGTATTTCAATGTTTTGAAAGGTTGTGTGGTTAGAGTCAAATTTTCTAGCTCCATTTTGTGCCTTTCATGAAGCCCTACAAAATAAAGACATGTCAATCAACCTATTCTTACTTTTAGGAGAATTTTTCAAACATAATGGCAAGCCAAGTTTGCAAATAGATTTACTTTTAGCAAACTCTACGCTATCATGTGATAACTTGTTTTATATTCACATTGTCAATTATCTTTGAATCTTACCTAGCAATTCAACTTCTCCCCAGCTACCCAAACCTTAACCTTTTTATGATGAAACATAGTAACAGCTTCTAGAACCCATATAAACTAATTTAACCATAACATAGTCTATCATGATATGTGTAGCATCATCACACCCCTCATGCCCGGGACTCCATGAGGCCGAAGTGTGGACGATGCAGGAAGCCGATGTGTGGGTTGGGCCTAACTCATCCCTACAAAATCGGCTTGTAAGGTGAGGATTGTCTTGCTTATAAACACAACACACAGGTCATATCTCTAAGCAACGTGGCACTAAATCCACCCCTTGAAACCCAACAGAATGAAGGCAAGTCAAAATGCTGCAATTAAGGCGACTAGGGGCGAACAATAATGAAGGCATAAATTTCAACACCCCCCCTCACACTCGGGCCTCAATGAGATCGAAGCGTGAAAGATTTAGGCTACTAAAGGCAGACCGCAATGAAGATGGAAATTCCAACAATTATTGGTGCATATGTCTATCCGATGTCTAGTCTAGTGAGAGTGTATGTGCTTGATAGGTGACGATAAATATACTACTTTGGATTCGGATTTGGATTTGGGAGGAACACACTGCTTCAAATTAAGGTTAAACTGAGAGTCGGATACATCAAAAAAACTATAAAGTGGACACTTTCCATTAACCCTGACAAAATAAAAACTTTGTTCCACCACATACATTCAAATATAATCCAATCTATTAGCTATATATATAATACACAACCAATTTCACAGATCCAAAACTAATGAAATTCCACACACAAGTAAAATCATTAATCAGTGAATGCTAAAACACCGATCATAAGAAAAAGAAAAAAAACAAACCTGAGATTGACAAATCAATATGGCCAGAAGAAGACGGTGATAAATTTGCAGAACCCATTATTACTCACATGCTAAAGATGAATTTTTTTGTATTGGGCATGCGTAATCAATCAATAAACAATAACCTTTGTGTAGTTTGTTTCACGTTTAGCGGGTTTCGGAAACGGTGAAAGACACGAATGTTTGAGACACAAGCATGTATTCAAGGAACTCAGAGAGAATTGAAATTGGAATTTACAGATCTAAAATTGCAACATCGAGAAATGTTTGCGTAAAGATCGGGGCTGGAAAATTTTAAATCACCTATAACTTGATTTTGATTTTGATGTGACATTAAATAAACTTTTGTGTGCGTTAGTGGAAATTAATTAACCAATTTTGAGAAAATATTGCGTTTAAATCTAAAAAACCGTAACAAATAGTGTCCCGTACTAAGTTATAGATAATCATTATTTATCAACTGTTTCATATAGGGAAGGTATTTAATTCTTAGAAATCAATGATTAGTTTTTACATTGTTTAAAATTTAACACCGCAATAAATAAATATTAATTTGATTCATGTCACGTATAGATATTGTGCCATCTTACATTTAATCCCCATAGCATAGGTATATTTATGTTCGCAAAATAGAGCGAGGGATCAAAATATTTATAGCTTAGAATACCAAATCCCTTCTTCTAAGATTTCATTTTATTTGTGTTCTTCTTAATTAAATCAAGTGCCATTTAAATGCTACCTGATCGTACTTGATCAAAATAGACAGTTACAACTTCATCGAGCAGAGTTTAAGTGAGGTGGAAGATACCTGCAAAATACTCTGATGTCAAAGTAAATTGCGGAATGAGCAAGCAAGCGTGAGAGTAAGAAAGTGTTGAATACCGGATCCTCTCGAAAGAGAGGGTATTTATAGTCCCCAGCGCTGGGTCAATGTCTCTACATTGGGCTGGTCAAGCAGGCCCAACGTAGAGACTGTCAGGTCCTACGTGAGTAGTGGGGACCCACACATGGTCCCCTACCTAGATGACGTCCTCCGCAAGGTCAGGAGGATATGTATGCGATCTTTCTGGGACCACGAAGACTCCGTGATATCCGAAGACGTGGGTAATCAGTCCTACGAGAAGGATGCTCGTGAGGAGCATCTGCCTGTCGTGGGTGATCCCCGTCATACGTGAGGTTGAGTGAGGGGACCAGTCTTGATCGACGAGCTAGTCGGGGTGTCCTCGAAGCCTTCATGGTTGAAGGTGTCTGTCCTTAGTCTACTCAGGGTGTTTGTCCCGTGTGGTGAGGTTGTCTCCTCGTGGAGAAAAAGTGGTAGTTGCCCACCGCATTCGAGGATAGAACTGGTCAGTGGTGCAGGTTGACACACTTGGATTGGGCCTCACTGGGGGTTGGGCCAAGGGCAAGCCCAGTCCAGAACAGGAGCCCCCCAAGTCGTTGCTCCTGATGAAGGAGCTATGACTTAGTTCTAGTTCGTCCTTTTACGAGGTGCACTGCTCGACATGGAGCTTTTATACCATTGACGGGGAACGTCGTTGGTTCAAGATTTTGCCCCGAGCAACGGTTGGAGTGGGTTCGGGGAGGACTCGCGGGGATAAGATGATGCACTTGTCAGACACGTGGCATGGCTCTTGGGAATAGTAATGATGACCTAGGGAGTATGGTCCATCATTGCCTGTACACGTAGGTGTCGAGGAGAAAGGCAGCTTATGAGCTGCCTGACGTGACGTTTCACATTCCACATCAGCTCTATAAAAAGGGCTTCAAGGCTCATAATTTACTTTCAAATTTTCGCGCTCTCCACTTTCTCCGTTGTCAACACCGGGCTATTTTCCAGAATCCTTGAAACCGCCGCACAGTCCACCGCATACTCTTCCTCAACCATCGTCGTTCTTCATCTATTCTTCAAGTAAGCGTTCTTTTTCCTTGATGTCCTGTGTGTAGGTAGATTTTGATGATGTTTAGTAGTAGGATTTCGCATCTGGGGGGTTCTATCCGAGGAATTCATGTGTTTAGGCGTATGATTTGTGATTATGCCTGTGATATTCATCCTTTCATCGGTATTTAGGTTAGTCTTCCCCGTGATCTCCATGTGTTTGGCTAACAAATTTATAAACTTGGTCATGAGATTCATAATTTGCTCGCTATATTCTTCCTGTGCCCGGTATATTTATGAACAATAGGCGTTCGTTATTAGGATCTGTGATACGGCGAGAGAACTGACTTGGGTGTTTGTGTTTTATCGCAAACGTTGCGGTTTAGCAAGAGTCGCCATCGACTTTTCTTTTATCCAAAAGGAAAGGTGAAAAAGCACAGGAAAGACCTTTGAGATTGTTTCTTGAGTTCGGGGGATAGATTATGAAAATGGAAGGTATTAGCATCCTTTTCATCCATGGTTTTCCATGGGCTCTTAGTTACTTGCTAGATCACTTGCTTTTGTTTGAAATTGTGCTTTGTGTGGTTTTTGAAAGTATTTTGTAAAGAGGTCATTGTTTAGGCAAACTTTATAATGATTCTCGTTCGTAAGAATGTATACAAAGTGTTTGATCTTTTGAAAATGTTTTCAAGTTTTGTAAGATGTTTTAAAAGTGTAGGTGTTTGTTTTGAAAATAGCAAGGATGTTTTGTTTTGAAATTGAGCAAGTAATTAGGAGCATTATACCTACTCAAAAGTCTTTCATGTTCATTTCCTTTTCCTTTGACATTGTTATCTTACAATTAATTTGGTAAGTAACCCTATCTTTGGAGGTAAACGGGACGGGCGAGGGTCATCGTATAACCATAATTAGCAATGTTGCAAGGTGTCTTAGCATTCTCTTTTAGGGACTAAGATCATTTGAAAGGCAACATGGATAGCGTCATCGAGGGACTATGATCTTGTATTTTGCTTGTTTTTGCCAAGATATCTCACATGCGTAATATGTCTATTTAGTAAGGCAACCAAGTGGATTTATCCTAGGGGTGCTTGTGTGCAAGTGTATTATTTTTATGCTTGGTCTTGTCTTTGATTAGGGTTTTCTAATTGATTGATTTTAGTCTTTCCATACAAACCCTAATTACTAGCATTTCCATATAAAGCAATAAATTGCGGAATTTAAAATTACTACGCTATTACAATACTTGTGGGAGGGGGGGGGGGTACAAATTATAAATGGGGATTGCAAGAAAATAAAGCCTAATTATTTATTACAACCATATTGAATTTGTACAAGAATTGAAATAAATAACGTACCAAATGAATAAATATACAAGGATGTGAATGTAAAGTAAATGGATATTTTGTTTAGATTTTTTAGGAAAAGGGGTTTTGTTTTAACCTAATTAACTAAAAGAAAAATAATTAATTAAAAGTAAAACCTAAATTTACTAGGAAAAGAAATTAAATAAAGCCCTAATCTATTAATTGATTAAAAAGAAATTAAATTTATAAGAAAAGTATATTTTTGGTATTTTTGTCTTAAAAATAATTTACAGTGTTATAAAATATTTTTGGTCTTTTTAAATATTAAAATAATATATTTAAAATGTGCAAAAGAAAATAATTAAAACCCTAGTTTTTTAATTAAATTTACAAAATAATTAGTGAAATAGATAAAGTATTATCAAATAAAATAATTTTTTTGTGTAAATTTATAAATAAACTATGTCAAAATATAAATCTAATATTTTTATATTTTTTATGATTTTTTAGTATTAGAAAAATATTTAAGAAAACAAATAAATAAAAATAAGAAAAAAGAAAAATAAAATGGGCCAGGGGTGTGGATAGCCTGCAAGGGGGGTTAACAGTAAGAAAAAAAACAAAAAGGCCCAAGGGAGGCCCGGGCGCATGTCCAAAAAAATCAGAATATGCAAAAAATGTGAAAAAAATCAAAAGGGTACCACTGGAGCTCGAACCCGGGTCCCTCTAGTCACAGGCGTGCGCTTCTACCACTAGGGTGGCTATACATCTGTTTATATAATCAAAACAATAAATATATGACACAAAATGCGCCCTGAATACACTTTATCTTCAACCTCCAGCCAAATGACCTGTATCTTCTTCATTTCTCAACAAAAATGAAAAGTTCAAGCATGAAAGTTGTAACATTCCTTCCCACGAATCCAACCATGTAAATAACTTAAACTAACAATCAAAGATGAAGGAGAATTTCTCTGGCCCTAATTAAAAACCTAAAAAATTTAGGACACTTCAACTTTAAAATTCTCTAAGCTCAGGCCATATAAATGCAAACTATGGATATGTACAGTTTTGTGGCAAAGTTATCTATATTTTATCTTCACAAATCAAGACCTAACAATGTCTAAATAATGAGATGAAAAGTCCAAAAACTCACCTTACAGCTGAAGATCGTATTTTGAGTTAGAGCTACTTTCGAAGAGTTTTGATGATTGGGTGAGCTTCCTTGCACCTCCAGGAAGCTATTACAAAGCTTACTTTATGCTGAGAGTCCTTGAATCAAGCTGAAGAAGTCAATGTGCAATGCCCTATTTTTGAAAATGGAGAATGGTGTAAATGGTATTACAGTTTGAAAATAGGGGTTGGGATAGTTTCTATATGTGTATTAGAAGCTTTGTGGATGGTTTGGCCAAGAAACGCACGAGGGGATTTGGAGGTTGGGTTCAAAAATCAGAAATGACGAGTTTTTGTGCTTGTATGGAAATTTTTGGTTTTGGGGAGTTTTAGGACTTGTTCCATCGTGTGTTAGCTTGAAATGCATTTGTATAATTATATGGAAGAGGTTAGAGGACTTGAGGAGGTCAGAAAACAAAGATGACATGTTATGAGTTTTTGACTTGTTTTTGAAGTTATCTTGAAAAACATGGTTTCAATGCAAGGTACATGTCTTGTAGGGTAGCTTGCAACTTTAAACATGTTTGTTCTGAGTTTATAGAGCATGCTTGTGCAGAAAGAACAGGTGCAAAACTCCATACAAGTTGACTTTGTGATTAAAGTCACTTTTCCAAAATGGAAGTGTGAACTTTGTTACATTAATGGAAAATTTACTTGGACAAAGCTTGAATCAAATGGATAATAGCTCAAAAGCAAGTGTGATCT